TATGTCGCGGCCGCAAATTTTATCACAGACAGGTCTAACGGGAGCCGCGAGTCGACTATCGAGACTATCCGGACCTCCTTCATTGGCTGCTACTGAAGTTCGAGCCCTCGACTACAAACTTCTAGCCCACAATCGCAGCCTTGCCAACAATGATCTTTAGCTCTGGTTCACTCCCTCTCTTCGTGACCGTGATCTTCTTGCCTTAGGTTGTGATCTCTCGGTTTTCGTGCATAACTCTACACTTGTGCACACTTTTGGTACCCAAAACATACATATCATCTAATACACCCTAGAATATCGATATTTTCTCATTGGAACGAATCAATGGCATATTTAATGACATATTGGCAATGATGCCTCAAAACAAACCTAAATATGGGTTCCAAATACTACCAGTTTGAGTGTTATCACGAGTAGACTCCTCTTAATGCGTTGGGGGGGGGGGGGATCAACATACCTCCTAATGTGATAAGGTGGGGTGGAAATTGGCTAAGTATGTCGGAGATGAGAGTGATAATGTGTAACTCAAGCACCTTCTTAGTGAGATGACAAAGGGAGATGATGTCAAGTGGCAAGAGGATAACCCTTGGCGCTCTCATGTAGGGATGACAATGGGTCGAGTTTTGCCAAACCCAAACCCATGGGTTTATTTTTTGGAAAAAAACCCGAGGCAAAACCCACTAGGTTTGAAAAACTCAAACCCAACCCAACTCTCTAGGTATCCGCTGGTTCGTGGGTACTAATGGGTTTTTGTCGTAAAAAATTTACAATAACAAGTTCCTATCAAAATAAAAGTCAAATATTAATCTCTCAATACAAATTAACAAATTATCCATATATAAAAGGGTTAATACCTTAATTTGGCCCGAACTATATACATACTTTCTACTTTGGCCCGTGGTATTGGAAATTGTTATTCTGGCCTGAACTATGTAGCAAACTTCCTCATTTGGCCTGGAGGCGGGTTTGACCGTTAAATTAGACGCTCAAACTTGTTGACCGTTAGTCAATGTCCACCTCACCTGCCACGTCAGCTTTGAGGACATAAATTTTTATTTTTTTATTATTTCTGAATTTTTTTTCTTGTCATTTACTAAAAATGGGCCCTTTTTCGTTCTTTTAATTAATTTTTTTGATTTATGATTTTTATTAATCTAAAGAAAACGAAATTCATAAATAAAAAATAATTTTTTATGTCCTCAAAACTAACGTGGCAGGTGAGGTGGATATTGACTAACGGTCAACAGGTTTGACCGTCTAATTTGATGGTCAAACCCGCCTCCAGGCCAAATGAGAAAGTTTGCTACATAGTTCAGGCTAGAATAGCAATTTTCAATACCACGGGCCAAAGTAGAAAGTATGTGTATAGTTCAGGCCAAACTAAGGTATTAACCCTATATAAAACACCATTCTAGAAAATTCAAGCAAATCACAAATTAACCATACAAATTGGTTCAACGCCAATCTAGAAAACTCAAGAAAATTGAAGCAAATGACAAATTATCCATAACAACATGATTAATTTAAAACTTCTTCCTCCTTGTCAATTAAGCTTCTTCACTCTCCACTCTATAATATCAACATCATTCTACACAATTAGAAAGAAAAAAAAATTAGATATGTCTCCACAAACATAAAAAAGATTAGTTGCTTAGAATACTAAATATATCGAAAAAAATTAATCTTATTGGTGTGGGCGGGTATCCATGGGGCGGGTATACCTAAACTCAAACCCAACCCGGTGAATAGTTAATGGGTTTAAACCTGGACCGAACCAAAACCGGTCAACACGGGTTTTACCCTCGTTGACCGGGTTGGGTCGGGTAGGGTACCCATGAGTTCGGGTTTTGTTGCCATCCCTACTCTCATGGTCATAAGCGGTGAATTATGTTTGCCATTTTGACCATGTGATCGAATACCCGCCCAAATGTGACATGGGGTCTTTATGCCTTGACCGTTTTGTCATCTAACAACTACTATGCTACCAAGTGGAGGGGTCGAGACTAAAGAAGGTGGCATATCCAATGTTAGGGCATTTTCAGGGCATTTGAGAGGGTAACTAACTGTCACTCCACCTGAGGTGAGCAGTTTCACGAGGCAGTTACTTCTAATGACTATAAATAGATGGAAAAGATGTCAGAGGAGGGATTCGCAAAAATCTCAACTCGACACCACTTGTTAAGTTTTCATCTTTTTCTCTTTTCCTCTGAAAATTGTAGCCTTAGTCGTAGTTCTCTCGCTCCCACCTCCAACTCAGAGGTATGTCTATGATATTGGTAGTTTGTTCATGATAAAAATAAATAATACACAAGTGCTGCCCACCATTAAACTTTGATTTGTTTAATTTGGTTATTGTATTAGTTTGAACAGTTTAGATATGATAATGTATTTCATGGTTAATAAAATTTAGGCCTAATACCAATAAAAGGCCCATAGTTTAGCGTTTAGGTCACTTGTACCCCTATGTTTGTACCGCGTCACTTATGTCCCCAAGTTTAGTCTCCGTTAACTTTGACCATTAGTAGTCAATAGTCAAAGTTTTGACTGACGATGTGGCATATGATGTGGACTTTTTGCCACATCATTTAATATAAAATAAATAAAAATTAATACATAGAAATAAAATTGCATACTTTCAAAAAGTTAACAAATAAAAATCAAATGAAAATACATTGCGAGAGGGACGATACAGCTCTCCTCTTTCCTCCTCCGAGTGAGGGGAGCGCCGGGAAACTCCAGCTCCTCCACGTTTCTTCTTCCCAAATCTTTGATCCATATCTCATTCTCCATCCCGCCGTAAAATCACCAAGCTTGAATCCGAAATTTCAGAAGCAAAGAAAACCCCAAATCTGACCCAACGATTCTTCTCTCTCGCGTCCCGTTAAGGCGCTAAGAAGATTCATTCACAAAGCTTTTCAGCCGACAAATCTGAAATCATCCAGCTCCGCATCCCTAGCCACCATCGAGTACGGGAAGAAAAAGGCGACGAAGCAAAGGTCTCTTTTTATGTTGGGGAAGGAAGACCACAACCTGGACTCTATTTGTCTCTTCCCTCTTTCCCATTAAACCCAGAAAAGAAACCTAATTGCTAGACCACTGCCGACGTAGCTTCAATATCTTCCCCTCCCTTATAAACAAATACCCATGTCTATATTCATCCTTCTCTTCTCCCTGCAGGATCTCCATTCATCATCTCTTTCACTGTCTATTGAATCAGACCCACGAGCGACGATGTCCACGCTGCTCTCCGTCTTTCCTCCGGCGACTGGCGATGAAGACATCACAACAATTGAAGGCGGCAAAGGCAATTTGAAGGAGGAAGATGGGGATTTTTGGGTCGGGGAAGGAAGATGGTGTTTTTTTTTTCATGTTTAAGTGTCTTAATTGAAAAATAAAATTAATTATTTTTAGGAATATATGTGATGATGGGCGAAAATATTTAAATTCTTTCATTTATTAATTACAATTAATCTTTTTTTTCCTGATGAGTTGGTGACATGGCAGACAAGTTGGCACAAAGTCAACAAAATGTTGACCACCGTTAGGTTGACCGTTAAGTCTAACAGTCAACGAAACGAAGGAGAACAAAAATGATATGAAGGCACTAAACTTGGGGACATAATTGACGCGGTACAAACATAGGGGTACAAGTGACCTAAACCCTAAACTATGGGCCCTTTTCTGGTATTAGGCCTAAAATTTAGACTTATTTGGTTTGGTAATTACCATGGTGACCATTTGAACACCTTAGCGTTGAGGCGGGGCATGAGTATCTACTTCTGACCCGCCCTACCCCGTTTGTGGTCCATTTTTATCTCAATTTCTTACAGTATCTATACATATTATCATATTTTGACTTTTCTTCAACTAGTTAGACTTGATCTTTGATCTAGAAGTACTCAATTACTCATTCTATTATCACTATTTATCATTTATAAAATGTTTTCTCCTTTGTTTTATCTTACAAAATAAAATTTACCATGTATTTTTCCCCCAATAACATCTAAGAGTGGATCGACTTGCACGAGGTACCCGCCCGCCCCATTGTGTGTTTCCCCAAGACCCCAACCCTTCCTGCTGGGTCAATATAGGGTGCATAACCTTAGGGTGCATAACTATGAGTAACCAAATCTGAACCATTCTTTTAAGTGGTTGCAGATATAAGGGTGGAGAATTAAAGGAATTTATTTTCTCTAGTTTTATTGATTGGATCATATCTTCTTCATTCTAATTCGGATTTCAATTTTTTTTTCACAGATGGAACGAGTTCGTTGTGCTCTACAAAATGATATCCATTTTCAATATTTTTTGAGAAATTTTTTTCATACCTCTCGTTACCAATTCCATACCATATGGTATCTCCTTCGTTTTTTAGTCGTTTTCGGAAATTTTTGCACAGAAGGAACGATTTAATCATGATCTATTGGATTTCAAAAATTTCTGGGTGAAAAATTTCATACCACTCGTTACCAACTCCATACCACACTATACCACCCTGGTATGTGGTGGTATTTTTCATACCATATGGTATGCTCTTATTTAATACCAGTTAATATCATATGGTACAGTCAATACTCAATACCATATGGTATAGACTGGTAATAACTGACAAATTTTTTTTGTTCCAAATAATATCAAAGTGGATATCATTTTGTAGAGCATAATTAATATGATCTAATTGTGAAAAAAATTTAAATTCCAACTTAAAACGAGTGAAAAATTAACCGTTAAAGATTAAAAGAAGTAAAATTAAATTTTTTTTTCGAGAAAAAAGAATGAGACGCTCATGTGGCGGATTCTTATTGGATCATGTATAAGGTTATTGTACTACAAGATTACTATATCTATTCCCTTCCTACTTCCACCGAATCAAAAGTTTAGAAAAAAGAATGAGACGCTGATGTGGCGGATTCTTATTGGATCATGTACAAGGTTATTGTACTACAAGATTACTATATCTATTCCCTTCCTACTTCCACCGAATCAAAAGTTTATTTTCCTTTTTCTTTTTCCTTTAATATTTAGTCTTTATCTAAATAAAACGAAATAGAGTATTAGAATACCTGAGGATCTTTTTCCTTCTCGCCCCAAACACTTCGAATCCATCACCTACGCTCAGCGATTTCTCCTCTTTCATCGTCGAGGTGCGCGGCACTGATCTGATCAGCAAACAAAGTTAGGGTGAAATGGCGCCGCCGGCAGCGGCTGCCGTGGTGCAGCAGCAGGGACAGCCTGCGCAAGGACGGCAGCAACAGCAACCAGCGGGTTTCGGCCAGTCAATTACTGGGATCATAAGAATTGCTGTTTTCTGGTACTTCGCTTCCAAATTTTTCTCTCCCAAGAGACCCGCCACCGATCCTTCTCTTCTCACCTCCAATCTCTTTCAGAAGGGCGAGCTCATGGTATTTCCCTCCTTTCTTTCTCGTACTTCTCTGCTTCACTTCAACGCGTCCCCTGGTGTTCAATTGTTTCCTTTTTTTTCAATGTTCAGACGGGTTGTTGATATCTGCTTTACTTGTTGCTTAAAGATCCGAAATTTAAACAGAATAGAAAAGTAGCTCCTCTGTAGCCGCTGGAATGGAACATGATACTCTATCTGAACTGCTTATTTGGGACTTGTCATTGGATTCATATCATGAGATTAGGTCACTACCCGTCCTGTTCGTTGACATAACATCACTGTGTACTGGTAAACCTGGAAACGGCAAGGTTCCAGTTTTGCTATTGTTAGAATCTGATGGCACCGATTCCAGTCTTTTGTTGCCGGGATCAGTTACTGATTTACAACATATGGTGTTTTGTCAATGATCTCCTATTGGGTGCCATGCGGAAATAAATGGTTGCAATCATATCTTTTGTGTGTATTCTATATGTTTTTCTTGTTGTAATTCATGCTTAAGTTGCATGATGTTCCTCTTACGTTAACGTGTCTGGTTCTGTTCCCAGGACATGTGGTTTTATGTTTCGGAGAGTGAGAAGTTCAATGACTTCAACAACGAAGGTGCTCTTATTTGGCACGAAGCTAACATACCTTATGCAGTTTGGGGCCCGGAAAGTACTAGGTCCCTTTCGGTGAAGTATTATCCCTCCGAGGTACAAGTTGTTGATAATATTTCATCTTCTGCACAGTCTTTCTCTGCTCTTATTATTTTCTATTTCAATATATTTTGATGCTCCTAGTCTCACGAGATACAATATGTAGTTGTCACCTGTCGTTAAAACAATCGTACTTGGATTCTTATTTTTATTAGGGGAGCTTTCAAATACCATAACTTGGGCATGAGTCGCTCGGGCTGTCATTAATGCACGTGGTCTGGCAGAGTACTCTTCGTAATATTTGCTTCAAAATATTCATTTCATTATCAGTTTAGGTGAACTTGATCAATAGCTGATAAAATTTGTAGGCAATCAATTTGTTCTTCTGCAGCTTCACAATTTCCCCCAATGAAATCCAGCATGGATACCATCGTTAAAATAATTATTTTATTATGCATCTTTTCAGGCATTGAAGCACAATGGCAGTCTTTATGCACATGTTTACTTTGCCCGTTCTGGGTATCCACCAGACCCCCAGGATCCAGAGTACCAACCTCTTGCTGCCTTTGAAAGGACTCATCGTATGGTTTCAGTTCTAGCAAGTAGCAAGATTCGTCCTTTACACTAAAAATGATATGGTTTTGGATATTAAAGTGATTTCTCTGTTTCACTGATTCCTTAGCCATTGTGGTTTACTTGCCGAAGTCAAAATCTGATAAGAGGAAGAGCCTGTTAGGGGATGGAAAAGGTGGTGAAGAAAGTGAACCACTTACTCAGGTATTTATCTTCAGTATTAAAGTAATTTATTGACCTGTTTTGCGGCTGAAACCTTGAGTAAGGAAGACACAACCATGGTCATTTTTTGGGCACTTACTCAGGTATTCTGACTGCCAAGGACATTGCATTTTTTTGAATTCCATATTTTAATCTTAAACTTCATGCTATTCTGAAACCTTCGGTAAGGAAGACAAAACCTGGGTCATGTATTTGGCACTATCAGTGGTAATATTTTTAGTAACACCTGTTGTTCATCCTATTTATCAGGATATCCTAAGTGTTATAATGTATTCTGACTGCCATGGGTAATATGTTTTGTCGAATTCCAGATTTTAAGCTTGAACTTCACTCTATTCTCTGATGTTTGTGAGCGATGCATATTCTATTCCTGTTGCCAAGGACATTGCATTTTTTTGAATTCCATATTTTAATCTTAAACTTCATGCTATTCTGAAACCTTCGGTAAGGAAGACAAAACCTGGGTCATGTATTTGGCACTATCAGTGGTAATATTTTTAGTAACACCTGTTGTTCATCCTATTTATCAGGATACCCTAAGTGTTATAATGTATTCTGACTGCCATGGGTAATATGTTTTGTCGAATTCCAGATTTTAAGCTTGAACTTCACTCTATTCTCTGATGTTTGTGAGCGATGCATATTCTATTCCTGTTGCCCTAACACAGATAATATTTGCATCAGGTGGTTGATGATCTTGATCTCGATCCTAAAGATGAAGGCCCTCCAGAATGGATTTCCTACTGGAAACCAAATATTACCATAAACCTGGTTGAAGACTTCTCTAGGTATATTCAATTCTATACTCTCTAGGTTATGGTTATTTGAAGAACAAAGTTAGCTATAATAGCCACAAACAGGAATTCCTTTAAGAGCATTAGGACTATGGAAGTATGGAACTTAAAATTGGAGTTATAGATGAGATTCTGGAAGAATCATAAAATAATCTGCAATTCTCGTATCCCTGTTCTTCGTAGAAATAAACCTTTTATATGTCCTGTATGTTTGGATGAGCGAATGAGAAGTTGAGTTATGTTTTGACTTTTGAGAAATGTTTAAGTTTCTATAACATAGTGGCTTCTTCTTATATGCTTTTTAAAAATCGAACTTCTACTAATTTGTTATTTAGAATATTTTGATTTGCTTATGTAACAATACATAAAAGTCTTTGTTGGTTACCTTGATGCATCATTATTTTTAATCGGTTCTCCTTTTTGTTTCTAGAGTTAATCACTCATTAAGTTGTGAGAATTGAAAAAAATGAAAAAAGGTGCTCGATGTTCCATGTTTCCCTTAACTTTATGGTGTTTTGCTTTCCTTTTCATAGTTTAAAGCAACCTTTTCTCTCTTGTTTTTTGTCATGAAAGTTGTGTTTTTATATGAACTGATAAGCTAACCGTTGGCTTTTTATTTTTGGCTCCTTATCTACAGATATTCACAAAGTGCAGTACCACCAAATATTGCTCCTTGTATCCTTGACCAAAATTTTAATCTATTTATGTTTCTTATAATTTCTTTGATTCTTTTCATTCTTGCATCATGTAAGCATCATATTCATTGAAGGATAATTCGTGGTTTCAATTTTATGCTAATTTGTACTAAAAATGACTACTGTAATGGTGAATGAATACTATAGCTAATACTAGCACACAACGCCATCTAATGCCTACTGCGCTTCTTAACTCCAGTTGGCAGACATGAATTTTGAGCCTGGTACTGGGAATTACTATCCTACGGTATTCTTCAATGAGTTTTGGTTGCTCAGGGATAAGTTGACTGCACTGAATGAAACAGTGACAGAATTGCCACTTAATTTGGAGGTTGGCCCTATAAGCATGACAAAGTGGCAACTATTTCTTCAAATTGATCAGTCATTCCAGATACACCGAAGCTATGGAAGCATGCTTGAAGGTGAAGCTGATGAATTGAAGGTACTGTATGTCTGTATTTACAATATTCGGAATCTTTGTGAGCTGTGCTTCTACATGTGGTGTCATAACCAAGTAGTTATGCGATGGAGTATGCTATCCCAATTGAGTTGAGTACCTGATCCTGGATGTGAAGGTGATTGTGATTCATTTATTGTGCCTATAGTCTTTTTCTATGGAGATTGTGATTCAGTTACTGCATTGAGATTCAGGTTATAAATCTGAAGTGACAGGATGGGAGAGTGATTTTGATTCAGTTATTTGAGGAAGGACTGGACTGCTATGTAATAGTTCATGTCCAAAGAGGCAAAATTATACTATATATTATGTGGCTATAGTTTATTTTTGAAGCAAAATTATAGGTCCTAAACCATTATGGAAATTATGATTAATGGTTTGCTGCATTTCTTTTTTCTATCAGAGGGTGTTCTTGGAAGGAAATCCTTACCTCCTTGGTATCACAATGGTTGTTTCGTTGCTCCATTCAGTGTTTGATTTCCTGGCGTTCAAGAATGGTGAGTATTCACTCTTTTATTTATATACAAGGTCATTGGAATGTTCAATTTCCCATGGAAGTATTTCTCACTGATCTTCTATTGCCACAGATATACAATTTTGGAATAAAAACAAGTCTATGGAAGGATTGTCGGCGAAGTCTGTTGTCGTGAACTTCATATCTCAGCTCATAGTCTTTCTCTATCTACTTGACAATGACACATCATGGATGATCCTTGCGAGCTCAGGTGTTGGTGTGTGCATTGAATTTTGGAAAATTGGGAAAGCAATGCACATTGAGGTATAAGCTATATGTTAATTTTTTTCAGTTTTGTAGTCCCTTGGAATGTTAACTCCACAATTACTATTGAACTCCGTTTTAGGCCTGAGCCATGGGATAATGTATCTGTTCTGTGTCTATAAGTCTTTTAGGTTCTCTTCATCAGTATTTGAAAGATAATACTAAACGCAGATATGCTTGTAGTACACTGCGATAATTCAGGGGGGAAACAAAGGATCTTGTTAAGTCCTTGCTTTTAGTTTTATACAGCAGGAATTGTATTCTGGTTTCTGCTTCCATATTCTAATAATATTCAGTTTGTGTCTCACATCAACAGATTGATAGAAGTGGCAAGATCCCAATGCTGAGATTCCGAGACCGTGAGTCTTATGCTGGAAATAAGACTAAGGAATATGACGACATTGCAATGAAGTATTTGTCCTATGTGATATTTTTGCTTGCTGCATGCTTTGCTGTTTATTCGCTCAAATATGACCGGCACAAGAGCTGGTACTCCTGGATTCTGTCCTCATTAACAAGCTGCGTCTACATGTTTGGTAAGCAATCATTTTCCTTAGCCCTTATGCTGTACTGTGGCAACATCAGTATTATCTGCTAACCATTGTGGAATGTTTAACCTCTCTGGTGAGGTTTAGGCGAAAAGTTAATTGTGCTATGTTCCTGCAGGTTTCATCATGATGTGTCCACAGTTATTCATAAATTATAAGTTGAAGTCAGTGGCTCATCTACCTTGGAGACAAATGACATACAAGTTCCTCAACACCATTATTGATGATCTATTTGCATTTGTTATAAAAATGCCGATACTACACCGGCTCTCAGTCTTCCGTGATGGTGAGATTCTAATACAGTTTCTTTTTCTTGGTTTCCCCTTTGATTTCTGTTCTGCTATGATTTTCTCCTCGTCTGTTGGGCAACACAATCACCCCTGTCTGCTGCTGCTTCTTTGTTTGCAGATATCATCTTCCTGATATATCTGTACCAGAGATGGGTCTATCCAGTGGACAAGAAGCGTGTAAATGAGTTCGGCTTTGGAGGTGAGGATGATCCGGCCTCTAGCACAACGGTTGGTGAGACAGTTGCTGCTGTAACTAAAGAGGAAGATAAGAAGACAAACTAATCAAAGCTAGCTTGGGACTTTCTTGTTTTAGTTTTGCCCTGTCAATATTTTTGGAAACTATACTGCGGGAGGAAGATTCGTTTACTTCATTAGAAAGAAATGTTGCTAGTTCCAGTCGCTCGAGTATGTTAATGAGACCAACAAACCAGCGTTCTTCTTTCAGTTCCCTTTTACAGCTTGGCTGCGTTGGAACATCAGCAGCAAGGACGCCGGGCATTTTGGTATACCATCCGCCACTTATTTTAGCAATGCGATGTGGTTACTATGTGAAGTTGGGGGAAATGAGGTTCTCGGCTGGGCTCTTCAATTTCGTAGCTAAGAAAGAGCTCACGGGCAATGTCCAAAAGTTCACGGTTGTGATCTTCGAAAATTTCACGCGATCTTTCGAAACAAACCACAAAGTTCACGGGATTGGGAAGTATGCTTACAAGAGTGAACTTCTCTTCTTGAGCCTGTAATCTTCGATTTAGGCGGAAAAATGCAATTTTTTCATTCTATCAATGCATCTTTAGGAGTTGTTACTTGAATTTATATGAATATCTTATGGAGTTCTTACTTGAATCTAGCAGGAAAAATGCATGTAATCTTCGATATACCACGGAGGACAAATGAGCTTGATTACACCAAACTATAGTGTATATCACACCCATAGTTAATACATTTCCTCATTCCATCAATGCATCTTTGGAGTTTTTACTTGAATTTATATGAATATCTTAACTAATTGATCAATGTGCTTTTAAGAGACCCAGGATGTGTTTTTGTATCTTTTTTTATACATTTTGGTATGTTTTTGTTCTTCTAGATACAATACAATCTAGGATGATTTGGATCGATGCTAGGATAATTATGGAGGATCAATGGAGCGTTTATGAGAAGATTAGGGAGTTTTTGACCTACCAGACGAAGCCCAATGCAGGGGAAGCCTACTAGAAAGTCTAAATTGCAGTTTAAGAGAAGCCCAACAAAGGAAACTCAACCCCAATTTGGACAAGGAACTAAAGACAGCCTCAAGACGGGTTCAACCACCGCCGACCCAATTTGATCAAGTGATGCCCAAATTTCTAGGAGAAATTGCTTGGCCCACAAGAAATGGTTGGCGCCATTGGACCGCCGTCGGCCCAGTCCCTTGTAGAAGATTGTAGAAGGACCTTTCTTCCTCTTTAAATCAGAGAATCCGAGTTCCAAGGCATGAAAGGACTATTTTGGCTGAGTTTTAGGAGAAAAAACTCAGAGAATACCCCCTCTATCATGTACATATAAATAGATGCGTAAGTTAGACCTTTAGAAACACATTTTTAGCAACACTCTACCCTAGGAGCACGAGTTAGTGATCCATAGAGAGAAGGCGAGGCCTTGCTAGAATTCGGCAAGGAGATCCTCACCATTGATGCTTGTATCATTTGTCATGTCTTCCTATTTTCTCATGACGTTCTAGCTCTGTAGTGTTTAGGGATGTGAATTTTATGATTCATCATGTATCTTTCTATGATTTAATGAGATGTTTATTTCATTCAATTCTCTAGTCCATTGATGCTTATATCTTTAGATTGCTATAACGTATTCGCGATACTTTGTTCATATAGGGAAGTTAGGACAGTTAGTTAGGCATAGCTTACTTTATCTTTATAGGATTGTTTATGTCATTGATTCCCTATGTCATTCTATGCTTTAACCATAAATATTTTTACCTTTATTATGTGCTACTATATGCATCATTCATAATATCCTATAGGATGTTAGGAAACTAGTTTCTTGTGATATCTCATTGCCTTGTGTACGCTTGCTTAGTTGGACGTAATTAAGCATGTTTATAAGAGATCAATGTTTGATTATTAGATCATCAATGCTATAGAAATTATTATGGCTCAAGAGGCCCACACTTAACCATGCTATCCTCACTTCCTTATTTTTAGTTAGCTAGGTGATGACATCAAACGAAAGCACACATTAGCTAGCTATTGTTCCTTTTGCATGTGGCAAAAGCTTGGTTAGGAATGCATTCGTGGAAGGGATAGGGTGTCATAATAGATGATCCATTGAAGCATCTTGTTTATGAGATTGTATGCATGAGCATCAATATGAAGCTACCTAGATAATAGTTTTACTTACTTGCTTTGTTTGTCCTTTTTTTTTTCTTAAGTAGAGTAGAATTTCGATCAAGACACCTCAACCCATTGCTTTTACTTTTATTTGCATTGTTATCTCCCCTCCTCGATGAAAGGACATAACATCATCAAATAGACCAAAGCTCCATATACTGCGAGATTAAGGAAAACAAAGTAGAAAGACGAAGCTGCTCTATGTCAATTCATCAAAAACCCCACCTTTGGAATTGGTGAACCTCTTCATGACAACCTACATCTCCTTCTTAATGTTTAAAGAAGCCGTTGGGAGACTCTAATTTTGATCATGAGGAAGTGAAGGCAAAGAAGGAAGAATTCATCATTTCAAAGGAGCTCTTGTTGTAAAAGTGGAGAATACCATTTTCGAAGTTGGAGATCATGAATAAAACTGCAAGAACAAGATGGAGATGAATCATGGAGTCAAGCCAGATTTCTCTTGACTCCTTGAATTGGATCCTTTTGCTAAATTTTTGGAAATCCGTGAGACCGTTGTGTCTTACCTACCCAAGAGAGGGGGTTATGTGAGTTCTATCTTGACCCAATGCTCATACAAAGTTCACAAGCCACATTCAAAGTGTGGGGTAAAAGCTGCAAGGTGGAGACTAAGATGGAATCTTATTCATTGTCCACTCACTCGCTCTAAACTACACTCCCAATCGGAGGCCAAGCATAATCAAGGACTGGGTGTAGTGTAGTGGAAGCAAGTGATAAAATTATCAAAGCCTTGGGTCTCTAGATGTACGGTTAGTTCAACTTCGATTTGTTATCTAGCAAAACAAGGTTTAATTTCAAGAAACTAAACTAAATAAACTAGTCTTATAACCACACTAGCTAATTTACAAGTTGGGAGCATAATTAGTCATTGAATCCCTCTAGCCACTAACCACATGTATGATTGGAGATCCTCTAACTTGATTCATTCTTCATTCATAATGCGGAGAGTCTTTGACTAGACCTTGAATCTTTATTCAAACAATCAAGGCCTTCTTGATTGGATTGATTAGAGGGTCATAACCTTCTATAAAACAATCGATCATGGCATTCAGCACTAGCCCCTTCTATTAGGTGAGATTCCAACATTATACAAAGCAAAGAACCGACTCACACTCGTGTTATCGAGCCCTTACTCCCAATCTATGGTGATCTAGTTAACATAATCATATTTTCTCTCTCATAGATCAATAGTAAAATCAATTAATCTTGATGAAGGAAGAATTGAACATCAAAACATGCATAGATTGGATATGAAAACAAGAATATCAAAAGTTAGAGTACTCACACAATCAAGCTAAACATGACTAGAGTTCATCAAAACCTAAGTGAAGGAGAACTATTCCATAGACAGGAGAGAGAATATAATGTAAACCTCAAGATCTTCTAGGCATGATTTTCTAGCTCCAATGGGGTTGGGTACCTCCAAAAAAAGCTTCATGAACCCTTCTAGGTCACTCACTCTCTCTCTCTCTCTCTCTCTCTGGAACGTTCCTTACCTATTTTTGGCTAAAACCCAAGCTCTGCTCCTCTCAAAATTGTAGAAAACATCTTTATACTGCAGTTTGCAGAGTTCCCTGTCAAATGTCACGACCGTGACATTAACAAATGTCGTGAGATCAATCGAAATCGCATCATTTGGCCCCTGGAACGTCCCAAGTCTCCTCTAGGTCAAAAGTCACGATTTTGGCTCAAATCTCACGGTTAAATGCTTTCAAAATGCAAATGTGCTGATGGAACTGTGTGCAAATGTCCCCCCCCCCCCCCCCCCCCCCCGAAATCATGAGAATTACACTAAACTCGTGATCTTTGCACAAACGCCACCGTTTGGCTCGTTTTGACCTCCAAATGCCTCAAAACTTGCTCCTAAGCTTCCCACATGTAATAGGATCTCAAATATGACAAATAAGTCGAGGAACGCTAAATGAAGAGTAAAATATGTATAATTAAGCTTTCGTAGTACTTGTAACTTGTAAAAGCTTCATCCACCCCGACCTCATCCATTGATCGGACACAACTTGCATCTTCGACCTCCCTCCCCTTGGGAAAAATCAAGATCATCCTCCTCTTTGGTGCTCACTTCCTCCTCATCAACCCCATCTCGCACCGTCTCATCCATGTTTTCACGCACGAATTGAAGGACAATTCGCCACGCAAGATCATTAATCGGGTCATCTTGCACCTCAAACCTTGTGACTCGGTCTTCAAAGTTGGTATTTGGATGGGGAAGGGTTTGAAATTCATTAATGACTCACTCTTGCTCATCCTTACCACTATAGATCTCTTGGATGAGATCCTCTTGCTCCACACTGTTGTCATTAATCTCCTCTTCAGCCTCCTCTTCCTCTTCAAGTGGTAAGAGCATAGGCGTGCACAAGCTTGCTCAAACTTCTCTTGTAGCTTCAAATCGGAAGGAGGGAGGGGTAGGTATTCCATGTTGGAGCATGTTATTTCAAATTTCTCCATGGCAAGCTCTAATGATTTACTTTCTATGAAGCTCTCCGGTGTTAACTCCAATTCGGATTTCACATCGGGTTGTGGAGGAAGTCTTCTTGGTATGGGGAAGTTTCTTGATATCCCCATGAATATGGTTGTTCCTAATGGAAGGGAGGTTGGTCATAGAACTCAAATCCTTGGCTTCCAGCCTCTTGATTGTTCCATGAAGTTCGGGGTAACCTCATTCGAGTGTTGGTGGATATACCCCCACATGTTGGAGAAGTCATTGGAATTCATGATTCAACCAACACAAACAACACTTTCAAACGCAAAGGTGGAAAGTGAACACAACAAAAATGACTAAATTAACAAACCTAGACTTTTCCCCGATAATCTAGAATTCCCTGGCAACGGCGTTATAAACTTAACTCGCTCTAAACTACACTCCCAATCGAAGGCCAAACATAACCAATAATAGGGTGTAGTATAGTTGAAGGAAGTACTTAAATTATCGAACCCTAGGGTCTTTAGATGTATCGTTACTTTAAATTCATTTTGTTATCTATCAAACCAAGGTTTAAGTTCAAGAAACTAAGCTAACTAAACTACTCTAACAACTACACTAGCTAATTTACAAGTTGGGAGTCCACTTAGGCATTGAATCCCCTTAGCTACTAACCGGATCAATGATTGACGATCCTCTAACTTGATTCCTAATTCGGAGAGTCCTTGACTATACTTTAAAATCTCTATTACAACAATCAAGGCCATATTGAGCCGGTTGCTTAAGGGGTCGTAACCTTCTCTAAAATAACCGATCAAGGCGTTCGACACCAGTTCACTCTATTGGATGAGATTCCCACACATTAGAAAGCAAAGACCCGACTCACACTCGTGTTATCGAACCCTTACTCCCAATCTATGGTGGCTCTAATTGACATAATCCTATTTTCTCTCTCATAAGTCACTAGCAGAATCAATTAATCTCGACGAAGGAAGAATAATTAAACATCGAAACATGCACAGATGGATACGAACTCAAGAGAATATCAGGTGAGAGTACTCATACAAATCATTCAATCAAGCTAAACATGACTAGAGCTCATCAAAATCTAA